GAGAAAAGGCTTCCTCTGCATCACTCTCACATGCAGCATCTCCTTGTGTAAAGTGCACCGAATAGTTGAACGATGGTCAGTGTCTTGGGTGCTGCACGGTGGGTTGACTCTGTTGTTTGAGACCATCGTGTTGCTACTCTTCAGAGAATATTCAAAGAGGAGGGAAACTTACAACTTGCCCCATAAAACTCTCTCATAATTTGATTCACCTGTGTGTGGAGGTCAAAGGTCACTGAGCTTCCCAAACCAATTTCGAGTTCCAATAATTTGTTCTAAAGGTTTTGGGATCAATAAAATGACAACAGTGACCAGATTTATGCACCGGCCTAATTTTGTTTAAACAATTATTTCACTTTCTGTAAACCCTATAAACTTTTTTACTTCTCAGATCTTAGTGCATCTCCTATATTTTTTATCATAACCAACGATTTATAAAGGAAAATCACGGAGATCAAAAAGGCTGCCCAATATTTCACACCCCACCGTATGGCTGTGACCTGAAGCATGTTTCCATCTTACCTCCTGGTGTTTGCCTAAGGTGTGGTCTCATTCTCCCCAGATTACCTACAGGAGGAGCGGGATGGCTTTCCTCACCTGCTGATACATCAGCCCACATCTTTTTTCAAATGTAAATAATTTTATTTTTTATGTAATAAAACTTTTCAGTTGAGTTCACACCATTGCTGTTGGTTTTATTGTTGAAAAACTTTATTGGTCACTAGTACAGAAGCAAGGACTACTGAACACGCTCAAATCTCAGCTGCTGACACATCACGGCAAAATTAGCACACAGAGGCAAGGATTTCCACTGGGATACAGTCAGATGGTTACAGCAGGTTTAAGAGGAAGCATTGTTTTGAGTCATGAATTAATGAATCTATCGATGCGTTACTCAGAATTTCTGCGTACTGTTGAGCAGCGACTCCCTCTCCATCAGGAGCTCTCCGTATCGCTGCTGGAGTTCTCGCTCTCTCTCCATCTGCCTCTCCACATCTTCCCGCAAAGCCTAAAAACACCAGAAGGTCAAACAAAAAGCTTTACTTGGTGGTAAAACTTTGGTTTGTCACCAAGTAAAAGGATTTGCTTCTAGAAAATATGTTTCTGGGCAAACAGTTCTGATCAGTTGTTTGTTTTTAAATAATTACATAGTTTATCAAAAAATGGCAACCTCATCACTGAGCCAATCAGATCATAACAGCAATGAAAATAAAACTGGAGCCTTTTTTTCTATTTATATATAAAGGCCTTGGAACATGACCAGAGCATGGCTGGAATACATATTAATGGCTTTTATCATTTTATATTTGAGTCATTTGAAAACTGAGAAAGTTAAAATCTTACTTAAATAAGATTGTGAACGTAAATCCAGCCTAACGCTCAGAATGAGCAGGTGTGTGTGTGTGTGCGTGTGTGTGAGGGTCACCTCCTGTCTCCTGGGAATGGCGAGGTCCTCTTGTTTTTTCAGTTGACTGAAGGTCTGGAGCTCCGTGGCTGCCTGCTCCACCTGGTGGACAAAACAAGCACAACATGTCAAAATAGAATAAATTTACAGTCGAAACTAACAGTGAACCTGTATTTAAAAGCTAAACCAGCTGTTAGTTTACTTTTACAACAACAACTGTTTTTGCTGATAAACTACGAGCGTCTAATGGTGCTGTAGACACGTGTAGTCAGTAATTTGGCACTTTAGTGCATCTTAGTTCAAATTTAAATATTCTGCCTAAAACCGTCAGTGTCCCTCTTCAGGTAAAAACTCTGCACAGCATTTGAATTTAAATCCGCTGTCCCTATGCACTAAGAGGTACCCTATGATGTAAGCTGGTACATTATGATGTCACGGTGTGTGTGTGTGTTCTTGTACATACTACATACTGAGGACCATTTTACCTACGAAGTGAGGACATTTAATTGGTTCTCACTTTTTTTTTTAGAAGCTTACTATACCAGTTAGAGGTTTGGTGTGAATTAAGTTTTAGTTAAGGTTAAGAATAGATTAGCATTGGTTATGGTTAGGGTTGGGGTATGGGTTAGGCATAGTGAAATCACAAAAATGAATGGAAGTCAATGGAGGGTCCTCACTATGATAGAAAGACAGACGTGTGTGTGGCTTCGCCCTCTTGGTTCACCAGCAATGCCTCCTTGTGTCGCATTTTTCAAACAGGAAATGGGAGTGGAGTTTGACTCTGGTAGGGGGTGACTTGCTCTTTAAGAGCAGAAACATGGAACTCTGGTTTGTACACATTAAGATAATTTTGTTTGGCATTAAATGATAAACATGGCGATCCATTTACCCTCAGATGTGTACTATTGACTCTAAAGGAGCATCTTCCTTCCATGCTGACACAAATCTGCTCATTACCTGTTCGTAAAGCTCATTGTGCTGCTTCAGGAGGCCCAGGGCTCTGGACTGAAAACCTCCCAGCAGGATCTTCAGTTTCTTCTCTAGTTTAGCCGCTCGCCGAGCTTCAGCTGTCATGTGACCACGGTTCACCTGCAAAGGGCAACGGAGACGGGGTCAAAGGGCTGGGACTCACTCAGCTTTTTAATAATTACATTTTAACTTTTTCACCTCTAGTTTTTTCTCCAGACTTTCAATTCGATCTTTCTTTGAAGCCAGGTTGGCTCTGGTGTACCTGCTCTGACCAGGTAGGTACAACACCTGCACAACAACAGCATCTTCAGCTTGATGGCAGTAACCCCAGATTGGTTTCATTTGTTCATCTCCTTTTGTTCACTGTGAGGATGCTCACCTGCCCATAGCACTCCTCCCACACCTGAGTGTAGGCCTCCAAGCTGAGATCACCATGACCCATTCCTGCTTTCACCACGTCCATTTCCGCTGCCAGGATGGCCGTTGCCTGTTCAGCAGATGATTGAATAATTACAACCAAACAGGAGGTACAACTCTGTTTAAAGCCGGACCACGCTGTTTTTCAGCCGTCGCTCAGGATCGCTCATGTCACACTAAGAACTCCAGAGAGGTGGCACACTGTGCAGTACAAGATTTCAGTGATCCAGATGGGACAACATCTTGCTCCAAGCAGGACACACGTCGCTAAAAGCAGACAGCTAACCAAAACAAAGCTGAAAAAAGCGCCACTGTTACTTCTTAGTCTCACGACCCAGCTCATCTTCCTCAAAGAGGAAGTATCGTTTTCAAAACCCTTGCTTTGGTCTCAGTCTGCTTTTCCTGCTGGACATCCATCCTTCTCATCATCCTGTACACATAACGAAACTCACTAAACTACAGAGAAGTAACAATCCATCACAAATTGCTCCAATATCTAAAGTTTTGCCATTATTTCTGTCTTTCACTGTTTACTGTCCAACATGACTAGGGTTGGACACCGCTTGAATCCGAGCGGTTTTGAATCCGGTTCCCATCGACTCCCGATTCTGACAGGATCTAAAAACATCTAAACTTTAGCATGAATTTTTATTCTGTGAACAATAACATCACCTTCATTCAGACAAAAACATGTTTTCAAGAAAAAGACTTGCAGCACAACCAGTGTTTGTTTCCGACCACAACCAAAGCCTGGGAACGATTTTTTATTATATTTATTGTCCGTATCGACTCCTGGTGGCCAGAACCCAGCGTCAGTCATCCACCACAGAGAAAGGCCGCTCTAGCATGATGACTTTAAATATTTTAAAGGTTATTGCTCAGCCGTCTGACGAGTGTGAGTGGCTGCATTTGACTGTTGGTGCTCCGTGTGCGTTTTTAATTCTGCAGTGAGCCGAACTCACCTCACACCGCCCGCAGTTTGTTCTTTAAAACTTGTATTATATCCACCATGTTGACGCATTTTAACGAGCTTCCTCCGCGCCATCTATTTACATTTTTGCCACTGTGCGCCTGTGCAGTGTGAGGGAAGGGGGGATGCGATGCTGCTCTCAGGGTCTATGCGGGCTGCAGAGAAGGAGCGACAGGTGGTGTGATCGGCTCTGAAAGGCGTTGATTAGATCAGAGATCGCCCACAGATTCTTCCAGTCAGCAGCCTGGGTATCGAAACTAGAAATCGAAATAAAACAGTTTGAATGATTCTGGGATAAACTGACCGTCCCGGTTCTAACAGATGCTCAACGCCCAACCCTACACATGACATCACCGCTTGCAGACTGTCCGAGGCTGTCTTTGGTTGTGAGACGGCTCAAAAAGCTGTCACAGAGCCGGTCACACTGGGCGGCAACACCGTTTTTGTTACAATTCTGCCCACGATGAGGGATTTGCCTAAGATGGCCGAAAATGGCTTAACAGAAGAGGTGTGTATGACCTGCTCCATCTCCTCTGTGCTGACTGGCTTGTAGGAGTGGGTTTCCAGGTAGGAGATGTGTGAGGCGTTGTTGGACGTAGACGTGGGGCCTTTGGTTTTACCACGCTGCAGCTGATTGGCCATGTTGACTGATGGATGGTGGAGGCAGTCGTGGTGCAGCATGGTGATCATTTCCTGTTTGATGAGCTCCTCTGCGATCTGGAGGTCAGAGAGTGGCTCCATGGAGGCGGGACGGAGGACAGACTCATTTACCTGCAGAGATGTAATGATGCAGAGGTAAATGAAGGCTTGTCGGGTCTTATTAGTGCTACGTGCCACAGGGCACTCTGCATTCGGGTCGAACCTCAGTAGGTCTGGGGAGACTCCTCTGTACTGCCGTGTGCCGTAGCTTCAGCTCCTTCTCCCGTTCTGCATCCCGCTGAGCCTGAAAATGCACGCGAGAATACAGTAAATACCACTGATGCCATTATAAACTACATCAGAATGAATGTGTGCCTACCTGTTTGCGTGCCTCCACATCTGCAGAGTCCTCGATATATCCCGTCTCCATCTCCGTTTCTTCAAGTTCTTTTTCTGCGTTTTCAGGAAGAACAATTTCAAAGTCGTTCTTAGGGACAGGAAGTGACATCAGCCCTTGCCTTAGCTGCTGCAGGCTTTCCTTGTGCTGTTAAAGAAAAGAAGAAGTGATTATAAACATAATTAAATATTTGGTTTTGGATTTATTGATTCAATGTGACACTTAAATGACTTGTGTTTTTACTAGATGTTTGGTGAATGTTGAGTCAGCCAGTTGCTCCTCGGTGTTTATGTTGAGTTTGTCTCTCAGCGGCGTCCGGCCGGGCGTCAAACCTGGAGTACCACGTGGAGTCATCCCACCCCCAGCTAGAGGCGTCATCCCATCTGAGGCCTGACCGGGTCCAGGAGTTCTGCAGGAGATCACAAGACCATAAATGTTGACCTTTTTAGTGGATTTGAGACAATTAAGTCAGCAGAAACATTAAGAGCAAAGTGAGATCAGTCTAGTTTAAAGGTGCATTATGTAGAAATGAAGTCAAAATGGCATCCTGTGGTAAAATGTAGTTACTGCAACCACTTTAAACAACTCTGGAGCTTTTTGCCAGCCATCATCATATTACAATTGTCGGTGCTGCAGTAATAGCTCGCAGGAGACACGACGCCCCCCACCCTCACTGATGTAGTTACATCCAGGGTTTCCCTTACATAGGCGTAGCCGTGGTGGCCTGCCACGGCTGAAATCCCACCACCACGCCTACAAGATCCCAAGTTTTTTTGTTTTTTTTTTGCACTGTTTCCCAAAGAAGCAGTGGGAACTACTATGTTGTCGCTTGTGATCACAGCCGGCGGGCAGCAAGGAGGAGCAGGCAGGGCAAGGTGAAATTACAGCATAAGTTACTGAGTTTAAAATTAGAAAGGTAGCAGTGGATATAATGCCTTTTGGTTCACATGTTTCAGCAGCATTAAGATAAACGAGTGTTGATGATCTTGACAGGGTTTCCTCCAGTGCTTATTAGGCCAGGTTTTCCTCCCCCCACCGTGCTAAGCATCACTTATTCATGTAAAATTTATTTATTTATTCATGTCTGACTTTAACCGCATCTAATACTGTATTACGGCGTGAGCGCAACAGCGACAACTTAATATCAATGTGTGAGCAGCGTGAGAGGTCAGGTGTTTTCATCTGAACCCTTAAAACCTCCAGCAGGCTACGCTGCACTATTGACGTGTTAGCGCGTGGCGCTTAAATGGTAAATGGCCTGTATTTGATATAGCGCTTTCTAGAGTCCTGGAACCCCCCAAGGCGCTTTACAACGCTATCAGTCATTCACCCATTCACACACTGGTGGGGATGAGCTACAATGTAGTCACAGCTGCCCTGGGGCGCACTGACAGAGGCGAGGCTGCCGGGCACTGGCGCCACCAGTCCCTCCGACCACCACCAGCAGGCAACGTGGGTTAAGTGTCTTGCCCAAGGACACAACGACAGCGACAGACTGAGCGGGGCTCGAACCTGCAACCTTCCGATTGCAAGGCGAGCACTTAACTCCTGTGCCACCGTCGCCCCGCTTAGCGACGTGACATGTCTCTGAGAAAGCGTAAAAACACGGACGCTTCTTCTGAAGCGGGAAAATAACACCTCTTCTTAAGCAGAGCACAACGTCGCCTCGGCTCATTCACCCTCTGCCTAGCCGGACTGAGCTCGATAACTGACCCAGCACAGCCACTGGGTCGTTGGAGCTGCCCCGTGACTGCCTGATGGAAAACCAGCGGGTTTCATCAGACTCGTAGTTTCTTGTTTTTGCTGGGGACCCCTGTATTTTACCGCTCCCTCCTGCAGTCTTCCCCTATTAAAATTTAAAATGATTCTGTAAATTCCGTGTATCAATAGAAAAAATCTCTGCCTCTGCAGTAAATGTAGTCTCCAAATAATAAATAAGAGGTGCACTCATCTGTGCATGTCCTTTGATCCGCATTAGTGATATTTTCAGCACCAGAACAGTGAAGCAAAGAAAGATTATTGAGTTTGTTAGTAATTTGATTTATTAGGTGCATCTGACCTGTTCTATTTTTCTCTGAAATTAGATCAAATCAGTGCTTCTATGGGTTGTCTCCAATCTGCACTGGAAAATTTTACTTTATTTAGAGACGTGTCATAATTTCTCCCCAAGCCGCCAGCTGTAGTTTTTTTAGCTGTAGTCAAAAATGGTGTCTGATGACAGCGCAAACTTCTTTAGAAACACGGCTTTTAGCGCTTCTACTTGTTGTTTTAAAGACGTGTCCAAGTCATTTAGAGCAGAGGAAAGAGCCGCAGCAAACTCCGCTTCAGTCGCCATGTTTATGACAAACTCGGCGTTATGGTGTGTGACGTATGCTACTCAGCGCTGATTGGCTCGGTTAGAATTCTCAGGGGGTGGGGTTATTTGAATAGGAGAGTTACCAGACCCTTTCTCTGTGCAGAATTAAACAGAGGAGGAGTCTGGCAGGCCAGGCTAACATACGGCACCTTTAACTCATTCGCTGCCAGCGTTTCTCACCGTTTTTACTGTTGTTTTAAGAGTCACAGGCGTCAAACATCTTTTTAAAAATGGTATTTTTATGTCTGCTGCTCAACTGGAAAAGGACTATGGAATCTCCTCCAAGACTAGGGCTGCAACAAACGATTATTTGGATAATCGATTAATCGGATGGGGTCTCGACACGATTAATCGGATTACATGGGGACATTTTTAAAAACTGCTAGGGAAACGTTATTTCTCTCCTTCCTTCACTTTATTTAACACAACATTATTAGAAAACAGTTCAATAGCAGAAAAACAACATGCCATCACCTAAATTGTCTTATAAGGTGTATAGACAGAGACCCTAAGCTACATCTATCTGTGACCTAAAATGCTTGGTCCAAGTTAAACAGCTTAAGGGCAATTCTCATCTGTTTTGTTTGATCTCATCTGTTGACATTTATTTTAAATGTAACTAAACATAGGCTGTGAATTAATCAAAATTGATCACTATTTCCAAAAATGACTGAAAAAATACCAAATAAAACAAAAGTAAATGAATGCCATCCTTGCGATGATGCCCTGGGCAACTGCCATAAAGTCACATCAAGAAATGCTGCTGATCATTCCAATGATCCCAAATAGACTCACATTAGGCCACATGAAAGAAACTGAACCCAAAAATATATTAACCAGTATATAACTGCACTCTCACACAACATGCCTGCAGCAACAGTTAGGACTCCTCCCTCCCTTTTAAAAGCATTTTTGCTTCTGAGGACATTGTGGTTGTAATGCCACATGCTAGTAGTCTGGCCCCGGTGTGATCAACCAGTTTCTGCGGGAATGTGACGGCGGAACCAGGGCCAGATTAACACTTTGTTGTACCCTGGGCAACAATATTCAAGGGCTCCATCATCACGACCCGAGGATCACCATAATGTGGTCACATACAGAATATTTTACTGTAATATGCAGTAAATATACTCAATACTTGAATGCCTGACAACACGTAACCCCCCCAGAGTAACCTTTGACCCACCTCGTGTGGACTGACCAATGAGGAGAGGGTCTTAACTTGAGGCCCTCTCTTCATTGGTCAGTCTGCATGAGACTGACTCTCAACTGACGTTCAAAGTCATAGGCAGCGAAGCGTCTCTGTGCAGTGCAAAAGCCCGGGTGGACAGTTTGTTTAATGTAGGGTGATCATATTTCCATTTCCAAACAAGAGGACAGGGGATCTGTGCCTATGACGTCACACTATGGCAACGCCACACAAACCATGTTGGGACCCATTTTTTGTAAGAACTAAATTAATATCAGATTCTGCCAATAAAAGGGCTCTAAAACAATTCATATGTAAATATTTTGCATATTTAATGCAAAATCTAATTTTTCTGCTTTAGTGCTGCAACAAGGTTTTATTAATAATAAATTATTATACCTTTTGTTTTACTACAGCATCGGTAAGCTTCCTGTGCACAGATTATTCAGGATGCTTGTTTCAGCTGTGAGATTAGACGACAGGATCAATGAAAAAATAAGTTGTCACACACTCCATGGAAACTTTCAGAGAATCTACAAATAGTGGCTTTCAAATGGTTTTGTTACTTTTTGCAAGTTTAGAAAAGCAGCAGATGAGACAGCATGTCTGATAATTTAGTTTTTCATCTGATAATATTAGAACATGTCAGTAATGTCTGAGGGGCTTTTATAAACACTGTATAACTAATACTCCTGGAGAGGGTATGAATTACACAGAGGCTTCTGGGGAGCCCAGTTATTGTGTGTGTGTGTGTGTGTGTGTGTGGGGGGGGGGGGGGGGCATTTTGCCTTGGCCCCCAAAATGTCTTGAAACGGCCCTGGGTGTGTGACTGAGTTTTGAAGGTGATCTGAATTGTATCAGATGAATAAATATGACATGTGTATAACTTATTGTTTTTTACTAGTAAAAACGTGTCGTGGAGATAAATCTACCTACATTTGACTTTTCAACACTTTGTTTTGTTTTCTTGTTTTTATTGAACTATTTTCCTGTCCTGTCTGTCTCTCATCTTCCTGCATCTCCTCTTAATTCTCCAGAAAATCTGCTGCCTGGATTCTTACCTTTTCACCTCATCAGTTACTTTTGAGCAGGTCAAAGGGATCTCCTGACCGAAAAGCGCAGAGCGCGTTTTCGATGCTGCGTGAGGTGAAATCACCACAGCACAGGTGATGAGCTCCGCAGTAGCGCGCTTCATGCACAAATAAGACAGAAAATAGAGAACATGTGCGGACATGAACGATCGTGTGCTAATTATAGTTTTTTGGTTGCGCCACTTTGAGAATGGACCATGCGCTGGAAGCAGCTGCCTGGATCGCTGCGCAACAATGCGGAACCGGTTCGCAGCAGCGCAAGTCTGCCGGCTCTCCCTCGCGCTGATCTGCGGCTCTCCCTCGCGCTGATCTGCGGCTCTCCCTCGCGCTGATCTGCCGGCTCTCCCTCGCGCTGATCTGACTTGCTCTGGTCTGCGCGCAACGGCGGGCGGGAAGGGGGGGCGCTTTTGGAAGAGTTGTGCGACACAACGAATCGATGATGCAATTCGTTGCCAACGCTTTTAGTAATCGATTTTCATCGAATTTATCGATTCGTTGTTGCAGCCCTATCCAAGACTAACTATTTCAGATATCTCCAGGTTCGGGACTTTGTGAAAAAGTCATTCAGCCCCTCCTTCGAGCTTTCACAAAGTGGATGGATAGATGAGCTGATGGGCACAGATCCGACCGCTAAGGGGACAATCTCAACGTTATATGCAAGTATTCAGAATGTGGCTTCCCCCTCCCTGGACAACGTAAGAAGGAAATGGGAGGAAGAATTGGGACTGGACATTTCAGAGGTTGACTGGGGAGGGGGAGTAGATCTAGTACACTCTGCTTCTGTATGTATAAGACATGGATTGATACAGTTTAAGGTGTTACATAGACTCCACTTGTCAAAGGAGAAACTGGCAAGAATGTACCGGGGGTCCGATCCGACCTGCCCCAGATGTAAACAGGTGCCAGCCAACTTATGCCATATGTTTTGGTCTTGTCCCAGGCTGAAAGACTTTTGGACTAACATCTTTAGAACGTTCTCACTCATTTTTAACGAAGACATGGAACCAATGCCTCTGACAGCCATCTTTGGTAGAGGAAGGCAATAGCATTTACCTCATTGTTGGCCAGGAGACTGATTCTATTTAACTGGATAAAGGCAACACCGCCATCCCACAAACGCTGGTTGGAAGAAGTGATGGCACACCTTAAATTAGAACATCTCAGATTCACGATTCAGGGCAACACCAAAAAATTCTTTAAGGTCTGGCAGCCTTTCATTTCTTATTTTGAAGATAAGTTTCCGTCTACTCCATAACTGGCAACTTCCCCCCCCCCCCTTATTTTTTATTTTATTTTTTATTTATTTTTTTGTCTGGGTATAGTTTTATTTTGCATTGTAGTGTAGGATTTGAGTTCAAGCTTTTTTGTGTGAATGATGCTTTTTGAAAACTTAATAAAAACACTTTGATTATTATTATTATTAAGAGTCACAGAACGTTGCGCGCCAGGATGATGTTGACGCCGAAACAACCAAAACAAAGCGGAGACTCACCTCTTACATCAGGGAGAATCCGCACGTTTTGAGCTTTATGCGTTCTTTCATAATCCGTTGTCGAACTGTGATGGGCAGAAGCTTTTCCGATTCACGCCTCACTTTTTTTTTTTTTACAGCAGCGGCCCAAAACGATCTCCTAACACATGGCTTTTCTGCTTCCTGATCATGTGACATGTGCAGATGAAGATCGGCTTTAGAGCTGAGATGTTTGTTGTCACGGTGCTGGGGCTCGTTCCGACGCCCAAACAGTAAAAACATGCAGTGAATGAGTTAAAAAAAAACAACTGAAAAATGTTTCCAACAGAAACTCAATTTGAACCAAGAGGGGTTATAACCAGTCTGCTGCACCAGAAGCTAAAGCAACATTAAAACAGGCTACTTAAGCCTCTTTCTGATTTAAATACACGAGCAAAAGATTTATGAATCAGCTGATGTTTACAAAACACAAGCTTTTTTCTTTTGGCAAAGCTGGAAGAATAGTTTTAACGAATACATTTTTCTGTAACTAAAGTTAAAAGCTTTGATGCACCATAACAAGACAGGAGAGTGAGATCATACCTGAACGGTGTACTGAGAACAGTGTTTGGTGTTTGGACCTGCTGCCTCTGAGGCGTCACGCCGCTGAAGTCACTCTCGTGCAGCGGGGTGTTGAGACCGCCCTTCAGCGGCGTGTCTATGTTGGTCAGAGCCATCAGGTTCTGGGCTTCCTACAGAACAGAAGCACAAAAACACATGAATATAAACAGAGAAGAAAGCTTCTGCTTGGTTAATTTAAATGAGAGAAAATAAAAAATACAAGTAAATAAAGACCACAAAACAACTGATTTGTACAAAATACCAGAAAACTTAGATGAAGTGAGAAAGTCATTGTGTTTGTGGTCAACCTGCAGGATCCTGTCCTGTGCAGCAGGGGTGCGTGGGGTTCGTAGTCCAGTTGTCATGTTGTTGGTGATGCTGTACTCAGACAGGAGGGTGGAGGAAGCAGAGTTCCCACCTTCGCTTTCCTCAGCAGCCTGGCGGGCGACCTCACTTGCCACTCCCAGTTTCACGACCTCCTCTAACTCCGCATCACTGATCTGAAACCAGAGGAAGGACAGACAAACATCGCTGATCTGTTTAGACCAGATGCATCCGAGAGCTCAGACACTGCCGTGATCCTGGAGCATACCTGTGGGGCGGGTAACACCAGTTTGGAGCGCTTCTTGGTGAACTCTGCCACTCCGCTAGTCTGCAGGATAGCTGATGGCAGATCGCTCTCTTTCTTCTTCTTCATCTTCTGTTTATCTTTCTTTCGGTCCCTCTCCTCAGACTCGCTACATGTAAACAACTGATTAAGTGAGAACTCCAGATTCAGTTGATGCATAAAAGCAGAAAGTGTGTTGTTACTGACTTGCGTAGCTCCCCGTCCAAGTGCTGCTGCCTGAGTCGTTTAAAGTGTGGCTCCAGGGCATCGTACTGCTCCATGCTGGTGTCATAGAAACCCTAACAGGAAACAAAAATAATTTACAATCCAACTCACAGTCTGACGTTGGTGACACTGGGCTGTAGCTTAAATAATGAATGAATAAATATTAGCATCAATAGTTACTGGTGCAGGTTTCTTTTCAAAGGGGATTTCAGCATTGTAGTCCACTCCTCTCTTCTTCTTTCTCTTCTTCTGAACGTGGATTCCTGCTGCTCTCAGCTCTCTGCGTTTCTGCAGAGCAGCCAGGCGCCTGCAGCAGAATGAGAGTAAAACAAAGGACAAATATTTGTTTGTTATGCACTGATGGATTTCAGGGCTACCCCTGAATTTGTAAATGGATGGAATTGGCCATACCTGGCTTCCTCCAGCTGTTTCTCTCTGGCCTTCCTCTTGGCTTTTTTGCCCTGCGTGTTGGCCAGACGAGCTCTGGCTTCTGACAACATCTCCAGCTCATCTACAAAGACAAAAACACAGTCGTGTGTATGTTTCTATTGCTGCTAATCGGACCCACTTATTAGCACAGAAACCAACGTTCCTAAAAGAGATGAGAGGAATAATGCTGCAGAACAAAAACTTATTTTGTGCTTGTGAAAGAATGAAGTGTGTGATTTCACCTTCATCCATGTCCACGGGGTCAGGTCTGGCAGGTTTAGTCTCAGGGTTTGGGTCGATCTCTCCTGGTTTCAGCTTCCTGGGGTCATCTCCCACCTCTTCCTCGTTGTCTCTCTGTGCTGCTTTATCTCTAAATGAAGACAAAAGCACATCTGTCACCCTGACCTGTAAATTGCCATAAATGCAAAGATCCTCTCTGGTAGCAAAGAGCAAATGAGTGTAAAAATTGAAACTGTACAGCAGGTATTCATAGTGCTCTAGACACTGGGCAGCAGTGCGCCCAATGATGGGAGCAATGGTCCTCCACTGAGTCGGCATCAGCTTGGCCAAGTGAAGCAACTTCTCCTCCTCTTCTCTGGACCACTCTGTTTTTTTGATACTGGGGTCCAACCACTCGTACCTGCAAACAGAAACACCGTCGACGAGTGATTCAGGTAGTCGGACTGAACACACCTACAACAGAAAAGTATGTTTATGTTTACGTATTTGGCAGACGCCTTTATCCAAAACGACGTACAACGTATAACCTATAGGGCATGTTGTGATGTGTGGGGGAACCGGAGTACCCGGAGGAAACCCACGCATGCATGATGAGAACATGCAACTCCACGCAAAAAGGTCACAGCCGAGTTTCGAACCTGCAACCTTCTTGCTGCGAGGCAACAGTGCTAACAACTGCATCACCATGCAGCCCAAAAAAGTAGTTAACCTTTGTAATGGTCGGTGTCGTGTCCCGGTAGAAAGGCTACAAACTCACCATCTGGCTTTACACTGTTTGGCAGATTTGCGGTGAAGCAGGGAGGCGATACGAGACCACTGGTTCTTCCCATATTTCATCACCGCTGCCTTGAGGATCTCATCCTGAAAAAATTAGGGTAAAAAAAGCAAACAGGCAGAAAGACAAAGTTAGAACTTACATATATTAAAACTAACAAATAATTAACATAAAACATAATCATATTAAAGTCATTAAGTTGACTCAGAGCTGCAGCTGTTAGCCTGCACCCACCCCCCAGAGTGAGTTCTGGACTTTCTCACGTGGGTCGGAGCATTATCCTCTGTTTCTGCAGTTTATACTTGGATGACACAGTGAAGAAAACACAGAAAATGTTCGCTATATAAATGCAAGCTCGTGTGTTTTTCTGCTTAGTGTGTAATCTGTGATCAGAAACAGCAGAGACGTGTTCTGACTAGAGACTACTTTTAATCTGTATGGTTCATTTCCACGTAAAATCTAACATCAGCTAGCCTGGCAAGCCAGACTAAATAAATGTATTATTTAGTCTGGCCATGCTCCATTGACGGCTCTCGGTTGTGGGGCGGGTTCTACCGTTGTCTTTCAAATGATCTCCGCATTCCACTGGACAATGAATGTGACATACTATTGTTTCACTCTGTTGCATCATCCCACCCACCAGGCATATCGAGTGCCCTGATTGGCCAACAAAGCGGATAAAGCTCTGTGATTTGTTCGCTAAGCAGATAGAGTACTATGATTGGCCCACCATTATGGACCAATCACAGCTCTTTGTGCGTTTGAAACCCCTCTAGAGAGCTGTGCTTGGCTAGCCAGAGTCCTGGTAGGAGCTGCGGAGGTTCCAATGGAGCGTGCCTAGACCAAACTTTGCAAAGCAAGAATTTGGTCTAGTTCCCTAGGCTAACATCAGTCAGTAACACTAGTGAATAGTTTGGGTGCACTGGTTTTTATATAGTTTCTCTAATATTTGATACATTTAACTCATTCACTGCCAATGACGGCTAAAGTAGTCATTTGCATACTGTTTGGGCGTCGGAACGAGACCCCCGCACCGTGAGAACAAACATTTCAGCTCTAAAGCCGATTTTCATCCGCATACGTCACGTGATCAGGAAGCAGAAAACCCATGTGTTAGATCTTTCTGGGCCGCCGCTGTAAAAAAAAGTGAGGCGCAAACCGGAAAAGCTTCTGCCGCAATTCACAATCACAATTCATCAACGGATTATGAAAGAATGGATAATGCTCGCAACGCGCGGATTCTTCCTGATGTAAGAGGTGAGTCTACTCTTTGTTTTGGCATCGTCATCATCCTAGCGCGCAACGTTCTGTGACTCTTAAAAAAACTGTAAAAACGGTGAGAAACGCTGGCAGCGAAGGGCTTTACCGATCAGAAAACAGCTGGCAGTGAATGAGTTAATATATACAGTGCTGGTGCCGTCTGCTCTTTCTGCTACAGACTGAAGACTGATGCTCAACACAAATACTAACAACTGTTTCTCCTGTTAAGTTCCTGTCTGATGGCTCACTAAAAGTCAGATCCAGCATGGCGGTTATATCAGCAGGCGGCTGGTGAGCGGACAAAGGTAAAAAATAAAACGACAACCTGAGCGTTCCTCATCTCTGGGGTTAAAGAGAAGATGCTGCTGAGTCAAGAGCACTGAAGAGTTTCATTCATATTTTACATGAAGATGTACTTAAAAATAATCTTTTTTATGTTTTAATTTTTGTGAAGTGCCTCTTTTTTCTTGAGAGGCACTTTATAGAAGATAGATTTCTTCCTTTCTTCAAGATATAGTGAGTTAAAGACTGAATATACTTTAGATGTTGCTGGTGTGTTTTCAGTGTTATCGATTATTAAATCATTATACATTTATTCAGTAGAATTAATCTTCCTATTCTAAAGTTGTGTATATTTATGTGTAAATTTGCATCCCTGAAAAACATCTGCTTAAAAACATTGTCAAACATTATCAACTTGCATTTCTCTTTTGCCTGTTTTGTATATTTAGTACTTGGTCAGTTTATTGGCATTTTCACTAATCCTGTTAAAATGTTTGATTTTAACACTGAGCTGTGCACAAAATTAAGATTCAACAGTTAGTTAAATGCAGTGTTAACAGTTTAGGTTCAGAAATGTTGTGCGTTCACTGTTGTTTTTAGTGATCATTTAGCATTCAGAGAAGGTGCCAAACACCAAGATATCGGCCATAAAATCAGCTCCAAAAAATAAGCAGCACTTATCGGCCATTGGCTGACCATGACCGCCTCATATCAGTCTCAGCAATAAAAAAACAATATGGGTCAACCTGTAGTTCTGAGTCTAGACCTCAGAGGCTCCAAAAGTAACTGATGTGTGAATGCTAAAGCTCTGGCTGGAGAGAGATGGTGGAGAAGCTCTGAGAGGTAATGTGGTACAACAAAGGAGTAGGAAAATAAAACATGGGACAGAAGTTTAAACTGAACCCCTTAACTGGACAGAAATCCAGTGTATGGAAACCAGTACAAGTGGGATGCGTTTTCCTTCCCGTCAAATGCAGAACAACTTAATGCCATTTGAACAAAGACAGACAGAGACGTGTGTGTGCAATGTAGAAAACTCCAGGGAAGATGTGATAAAGGGATGAACTGCTGTCTCAAATGGGATATATAAGACTTAACTTTGTTAATAAGTACAAGTTTGATGACTGTTGTCTTGACGACCGACCTGTTCGTCAGATTTAAAGATGGAGTTTGAAAAAAAATGGCACACAGCAATCTAGCAGATGAATGAATATGAGAGACCAGAATGGTAGTCAGACTGTCCAAATATGATCATTTCCACTTGTTTTTTGTTTATGTCCATCACTGTTTGTACGTCGGATTCTGAATAGATAAAATAACTGATGAATGGAGAAAAAATTGAAAATCACCAGATAAAATGCGTAATCATAACCAGAAATTTTAGTTTTCTCTTGGTTTGTTTATTAAAAGATGTTTTTTTGGTCTTGCGCCCTCCCAAAAAGTATGCATATGTGTACAGACTACTAATGTGTGACTGCCCTATAAGTACTTCAGCAACAATGCCAAGGATTCGGTTTGTAAAACAATGAGAGTTAAATTTAGTAATAAAGGTAAGAATTTAGGCTAGCTAGGGTTCGCTAGGTAAAGCTATCCTGCCGTTGAAAAATCGAAATTATTAGAGACAAGAAATATTTTTTATGTAACCTTAATTTTTTAGATTTGGTTTCTGGTCTTTTTTTTTTTTCAGTTTAACTTTTACTTACTTTATGATTACAAGTTTCTCTCGCGAGAACGTGCTTTTCAAACGAAGCCAAGATCATTATTTACTTATCACGTGGTTATCAGTTAGTTAAGAAAATTACGCGACAAGCTTAATGGTACGTAATAAACTGCTTAATGTCGCTGCCCAGTCACATATAAACTAACCTAGCAATGTAAACTGTATCCAGTTATGGGTAACTAGCTTCATGCTAACTGATGCATTGGATTACTGTTTAAGGGTTAGCGTCGTGCTAACCGTAAACACGTACCTCAGTGTTGCGCCAAACGCCACCCTTTATCATAATTCGCGGCATCTTTGCGGTCTGCTGATGTCTCCCTCTTCAACCGAATATGAAAACTACTTCTTCACAAAATTGATGTTCGGGAGAATTTGTAATAAAACAAAACCAACGGAGACGCAATGCGCTGTACGAGGAAGGAAACTACCATGAACCGGATATTGTCAGAAGTCTCCTCCTCTTCCGGTACTTCTGTAAAGTTTTTTTTTAACTAGAAAACTGCCTTCAGCAGTTCTTAGCAGTTATAAGAAAAGAACTGCTAAAAAGAATCATCCTACTCTGTGATAAAATTAATAACACGGAGGATGAACTAAGAGAGCTAAACTTGCTCCAAAAACAGCTTGACGAAATTTATATAGAAAAAGCGAATGGACGGAGCCTTTGTAAGATCCAGGGCTAAGTGGATTGAAGAAGGCGAAAAGAACTCAACATATTTTTATGGATTAGAAAAGTCTAGACAATACAAAAAGAAAATATGCAAATTAAGAAAAAATGACACTGTAATAGTAGACCAAAATCAAATAAAGGAGGAAGTTCAACGTTTTTACTCAGACCTATATAGTTCTAATTTCTGTGAAGAGGAATGTAAATCCTTCTTCACTCAGATAAAGAACAATATTAAATCTATTGGAGAGGAAGACAGAAAAAATCTGGAGGATGATTTGAATATTAAAGAAGTAGTAAATTCCCTGAAAAAAAAATGAAAAATGGGAAATCGCCCGGTATTGATGGATTGACCTAGGAATTTCTTAAAATTTTTTGGGAAGATGTTCAAGAATTGTTATTAAGTACATTTAATGAGTGTATAAATGAAGGATGTCTTACCCCAACAATGAAAACTGGAATAATAACCCTTCTTCCCAAACCAAAAAAAGATTCAACAGACTTAGACAACTGGAGGCCAATTACTCTGTTGTGCAATGATTATAAATTATTAGCGCTATTATATGCAGAAAGACTGGAAACGGTAATTGATGAAATAGTAGATGATAATTAGTCTGCGTTTATAAAAGGAAGAAGCATACATAATAATGTAAGATTAGTACTGGATATGCTGGATTATAGGTCTATTTTGGAAACTGACAGCCTCATTTTATTTATAGACTATTTCAAAGCTTTTGATTCTATAGAACATATTTTTTTATTTTCCACCCTAGAATATTTCGGTTTTGGAAAAAAAAAATTTGTTCAGTGATAAAAATGTTCTATACTGATTTTATCAGTTATGTTACCTTAAACCCAGGACTAACAAAAAGAATAAATATAACTTGTGGAATAAGACAAGGATGTCCAATCAGCCCCAAGCTGTTTATCTTATGTACACAACTATTAGCATATCTAGTAATACATCATCCAAATGTTCAGGGTATAAATTTTTTTGATTATGAATTTCGTTTAAGTCAGTTTGCAGATGACACAGTTTTTTTTCTAAAGGATAAATCTATGGTTAACAAGGCATTACAAATTATTTCAATTTTTTCCAAAGCATCAGGTCTTCGTCTGAACACAAAAAAATGTGAGTTACTTTCACTGTATGAATGCACAGATAATGAGATAATGTCAATTCCTGTTAAAAAAGAAATAAAATATCTACGAGTTAAGATAATTGCAGACGAAAAACAAAGAGAAGAAATCAACATGAAAGAAAAAACTGATCAAATACAAAAATCTCTGAACCAATGGCTTAGCAGAGATCTTTCTATTTTGGGTTGACATTTATTGTCCAAGTCTGAGGGTATTTCCCAATTGATCTATCCATGTCAATCCCTTTATATCGCTCCAAAAACAGTGAAAAATATTAACGCTATTATATACAAATTTATATGGAGAAATAAAACCCATTATATAAAAAGATCCCAGTTAGTCAAAGAACATAAAATGGAGGTATGAAATCTGGATTTTGAAGCAATGCTGGGAACATTTAAAACAAACTGGCTGAAAGAATTTCTAATAAAGACAGATACAATTTGGTTTCATATTCCAAAAAATGTCTTCAAGAAGTTTGGGGGGCTAAACTTTCTTTTGAAATGTGACATTGAAATCACTAAATTGCCTTTTAAATTATCTGAATTTCACAAACAAGTATTGCATTATTGGAAGATGGTATTTACCCATAATTTTACTCCTCATTGTGCCACCTTGTGGAATAATCGAGTAATTGTTTTGTAACCCAGAAGCTAGAACCTTAATGAGGTATTAACTAATTGGCTTACTAATATGATCCATCCTCAATTTAGATAAAATATAAAATATAAATTAAGGAAATTAACAATACTAATTAATAGATATCTAATTAACTAATAGATAATTTCATAATGAATTATTGGAAGGGTGAATAACTAAAATAACGAGTTTAATATTAAACATCGGTTAAAACAAGAATCTTGAACATCACTAACAGAAACAGAAGAGGAAAGCTGTATACTATTGGTCCAGGTGGGAATCTGAAATTTCATTGGCTGAGAGAAATAAGTCCCGCCTCCGCGAAATAAAACCGTGCGACGCAGCTGAGCGAGAGGAGAGACAAACGGCTGTGCAGCACGCAGATACAGAAAGCAAAGACTGAGCGGTTAGAGAGAGAGAGAGAGAAAAAAAAAAAACAATGGTCGAGGCCGTGAAGAACCCTGATTTGGGTGCCGCATAGATAGAGGGAGAGGCGGACTTGACTCCTTCTAATAAGAGCTAGGGACTTGGAACCAACGCGGTGAGTAAAGAAAAAAGAAGAGAAAAAGCTAACGATGCAACTTAAAAAAAAAAAGGAAACTTAAATAGCTTATCAAATTAATTCCATTCTTATAGATTTGTGTGGAGACGACAGAGTGAACCAATCCTCTGTAGGAGGGAACCGTTGGAGCGCGTTGGTGAGTGAATGAGATTAAATTCAGTAAATTATTAAATTCAAAAAGCTAATTACAGCAACCGAGGTGACAGCAGTGGGCTGCTAGACGTTAGATCCCAGGAGTTAACATCTCAAACTACCAGTTAACGGTGGTAGGGCATATAGGAGTTAACGGCTCAAACCGCCAGTTAACGGCGGTACGGCATATAGGATTCCCAGGAGTTAACGGCTCAAACCGCCAGTTAACGGTGGTACGGCCTAGATGTACAAGGTCCTCAGGGGCGTTATAGCTAACGCCATAGAATTAGCAATGCGTCCCTTAACCAAACATTTAATAATAAAAAAAATAGATAAATGAAAATAAATAAAAGCTAACTGATTAGGGAGGAATTATTTTACAAAGGTGGACCAAAGGACCAGAATTTATATTTTGTTGAATTTTGTTATAGAACATTTTATTTATTTATTTATTTATTTATTTATTTATTTATTTATTTATTTATTGTGTTACAGATATACAAGGTGTCACAATGCTGTATAGAAACACAACTAAATGTATCCTTGTTGTCATGAATGTATTTCTTGTCGAATAGTGTAGAGTAATAGAATCTAACTGAGCCTATTGAGCTGAACAATTGTTGTCATATGTAATTATATTTCCAGAGCTACTGAGAATTATTTTAATAGACAATCAAATTGATGTTATGTTAGTTGAACTGTGAACCCAAACATGATTGGCTATGCCAATAGAGTGAAGCATTTGTTTAAGTCTGTAAGACTTTATGCTGTGATGTGACGAGAAGGGTCGATGCCAACTCGCTAACAGTCCTGTTGTTTACAGGCTGGGTTTTTTTTTTTCCTTGGGTTTGATCCCGACTCCTATGATCACTCACTTGGAACGAGAACTGGATTTCTTCCTGACGAGGGAGATGGCGAGCCTTAACCACTGAACGAACCAGGACATCTCAAGTAACTGAAGAGCAGACTGCTCTCTTCTGTGAACAATCTCAACGGTGTGGTAGGAAAAAATCGCACCACCGGACTCTGACTTTCACCCCAAGCGTGGGGATTTGACTTGACGCCGGCTGACTTGTGACTCATATGATCAAATCTCATACCGACCAATTTACTATTGTCGATTGTTTTCATCTGTTTTTGTGTGTTATCTTTATGTGTTATATTTCCCATTATTATTAAAATTTAGTATATAAACCGTTTCATGCTATACCCGTGACTCCAGTCATTCTTAAACAACCTCCAATTCTCCCCGAACCTAATTATTGGCCCATTTGTTTATTTTTTCTTTTAATTATCTTATTGTATCCTGTAATCCGGTTACATAAAACTTGGCGAGCCAGCCAGGAGAATTGTAGAGTTGTTACCTTAGCTAACCATTGACTGACATCATAAGAGTGCCTGGAGGTCACAGTGGTTTGCCATTTTGGCATTATTGGTACTTTTGAGTGTTTTAAAATGGAAGTTGTGAAAACAGAAAAGGTCAAAGTTTCAAATGCTGTTTTAATCAGTGGGTTAACTGATACAGACCTTGATAACGAAGTCTTTGGGTTTATGGAAGGATTCGGACCAGTTAACAGGCGCATTAAGTTACCAAACTGTGATCAGATTATTGTGGAGTTTCAACATGAAGCCACTGTTAAGGAATTAAAGAAACAATGTTTACCCTATGACAAACCTTGTACTAGGAACCCAGATGTTTTCTTCCATATTCAAGACCTAGCCAGCGCGTACAGTCTAGAAACTAGCACATCTGCCACTGATGCCTATCTGTCAGAGCTCAGGGACATAGCTGCGCGTAGCAATCAATCATTTAAAGACCTTCTAATGGAGGAACTGGCAAAAATTGGGGAATCTTTAGGAAGGGATACCCATGCATCTGAACCAGTCACTGAACCAGAGCCAATGCTCCATAGTGACCAAGTTACATATTCCCTGCCTTTAACACCAGAAGTTAACTATATGAACAACTCAAAGGACAATTGTCCACCTACAGAGACTGGAAAACAAAACCCTTGCATTCCACCAAATCTTTTAAACACACCTGAGGTTCAGCGAGTTATTGTGGAACACATTGTTAAAAGCAGTGAGGTTATCCCTCCGCCTACTTCACAATACAGACTAAAACCGTTCTCAGGGCGAGTTCCACACCCTTCTTTTGAAACTGACTATGATACTTGGCGTAGTAGTGTAGTGTTATGCATAAATGATCCTTCACTCACCAAGTCCCAAATTGTACGAAGAATCGTGGAGAGTCTGTCAGCCCCAGCAGCGAGCATCGTTAAAGCTCTTAGTCCAAAATCCGACCCGGAAACGTACCTTGAACA